GTCTTTACAGGCGCCCGCGACGGTTTCTCTGCCTTGGCCTGGCTCGTTGCGGTTAACCGCTACTTCAACCTTGCTAAGATAAGTGAGACTGAACGAACACCCCACGCTCTCTCGTACTTGGGCACGCCTGGCCCTGCCCGATGGTTTGATGGATGTGGGCTCCCTGATACTTGCAACTTCGAGACCGAGTTTACTCCTGCTTTTAAGCTAGAGTACATTCCCAACAACTTTGCGGGCTCCTGTCGACGACACCTCACCAATCTTCGCATGACCACCAACTTTTCGACCTACTTATCTACATTCAAGGAACTTTTGGGCGCCCTTCTTGGTTATGCCTCCACCGACGCTGCCAAGACCACGGTCAACGAGTTCGCCCAAACATCCTTTATCGACAACTGCCCCTTGGTTCTTCAACAGATGATCGAAGGACACATTATTCAAAACCCCAATATCACCCTCATTCAGATCTTTCAATACGCCCAAGAGATGGACCGCATTTACTCCTTCAAACCCGACACCGGCCCCAAGACCAACTCGCTCGCCATCGCCTCCGCCCCCATCATTTCTTCCTTCACCTCTTCCTCCGCTCTCTCTCAAGCCACCCCCATGGAAATCGACAACATCCAGATCGCCCTCAACAATATCACCCAACGATTTAATCGCCTAGAGAGAAACATGGGTCATAACAATAACTACAACCGCAACAACAATAACAACAACGGCCCCCGAAACAACAACAACGGTAATCCCCCTTCCCTGACCCCTCAGGAACGCGAATGGTGTAAAAACAACAATGCTTGCCGTCGCTGTCGCCAACCTGGACATTATGCAAAGGAGTGCCCCATCTACGGCGACAACAACAATACCAACCGTGGCAACAACAACAACCGCCAAGGACGATGGGTTTATCAAGTAGCCGTGGGTGATTCCCCCGAGTCGGGAAAAGCCTCCGACGATCAGGCTTAGTCCAGGACTTGATCGTCGACGTTCCCTCCCTTTCTCCTCTGGACAAAGGGAGTGTTTCCTTACCAGAGTTAAGTTACAGTTCCAAGAATAAAAATTCTGCTATCAAAAACACTCCCCCCTCTGTATCCATTATTCGCACTACCACATCCGCACCTCGTAGCCTACACAAACTCTCCTTCTCTCCTCCTCCACTCTCCCTTTTTCCCTCATCCATCCCTGCCTCGCCTCGTACTCCCTCCTCAATTGCCATCGACTCGACCACCACTGCCCCCAACACTCACTCCACCACGGTACCCTTTGACGATGAGTTACAACTCACCGACGACGTATCTGATACCTCGCCTGTTGGTCTTAGCCCATCAGAAGAAGTGGACCTGGACCCACTCTCCTCTCCTGCTGCTTTAGACCAACCCATGTCCAAGCGCAGGACCAAACGCTTGCGACACAAATCCGTCCGTCTGCACGCTTTCACGGCTGAGAAAGCCTCCCGTACACTCTTGTCGTTTATTGGTAATGTGGCTGGTGCCCCTGCGCGTATTTTAATCGATTGCGGTGCGGAAGGGAACGTCATCAGTTCTTCTTTTTGCAAACAACACTCCCTCACTCGCACTCCTGGCCCCTCCATCCCCATCATCCTTCCAAACGGTTCCTCTTCCATTTCATCATCCACCTCCACCTTTACCATCGACCGCGACCACTACTCCGACAAACTGGAAGCACTCATTTACCCCCTCTCCAACTACGACCTCATCCTTGGAAAACCCTGGCTAACGACCATCAACCCTTTCATCAACTGGCGAAACAACGACCTTCACTTCACCCACAATGGACACACTGTTCTCTGGCGCTGTCGTGGTGCCAACGCCAACTCCATCTCCGCTCGCACACAAGGGAAACTCCTCTCTCACCTTCACTTTCACTCCCTTGCTACCCAACCTGGAAACGCTGTCTACCTCGCCCTCGTCAACATCGCTAAAAAGACCAACGACAACAACAGTAATGACAACAAACCGACCTCCCCTCCACTCTCACCCGACATTCACAACATCGTCCACAACGAGTTCCCCGACGTTTTCCCTTCCTCCCTCCCCTCTGGCCTTCCCCCTGACAGAGGCGATGCAATGAAGATCGAAACTGATCCGAGCGCTGATCCCCCCTTTCGCCCTGTTATACGTCTCTCGATTGCTGAATTGGATGAACTAAGGAAGCAACTCGACGACCTACTTGGCAAAGGCTTTATCAAACCCTCTACCTCCCCTTATGGTGCCCCTGTATTGTTTGTGAAAAAGAAGGATGGTTCCTTGCGTATGTGTGTTGATTACAGAGGGTTAAACCGGATTACAAAAAAGAACAGACACCCCCTTCCCCGCATTGATGAACTTATCGACCGTTTCCGCGGGGCACGCTACTTTACCAAACTTGACCTCCTCTCCGGTTACCATCAGCAACGTATAGCAGAAGAGGACACACACAAGACAGCCTTCCGTTGCCGCTACGGCCATTTCGAATTTAATGTGGTCCCTTTCGGGTTAACGAATGCACCGGCGTCCTTCTCCAATATGATGCTACGAGTATTAGACCCTGTTCTCGACAAGTGGGTTGTTGTTTACCTCGACGACATTCTTATCTACTCGCGCACCGAGGCCGAACATCTACAACATCTCCGATCCGTCCTCACGCTCCTCCGCAAGTACGGTCTCTACGCCAAGTTGAGCAAGTGCTCCTTTATGCAGAAAGAGACCGAGTTCCTCGGCCACGTCATCTCCAAGGACGGTATCCATACGAGCGGCGGTCTCGTTCGTGCCATCCGTGAATGGCCCCGTCCCCAGAAGCAGAAAGATGTTCAGCAGTTTGTTGGTCTTGCACAGTTCTATCATCAGTACATCGCTAACTTTGCCTCGATCGCCCTACCGTTGACCGCTCTCTTAGGTGAAGGCGTTCCTTTCTCTTGGTCTCAGGAGCAGGAAGTAGCGTTTACGACTCTGAAGGAGGCCATCAGTAAAGCACCTGTTCTACGTATCTTCGACCCCGACCTTCTAACAACCGTCGAAACCGATGCCTCCGGCTTTGCTCTCGGTGCCGTTCTCTTTCAGACCGATGAGCATGGCGAGTCGCGCCCCGTCGCCTTCACCTCCCGCAAGCTGAACTCTGCCGAACGCAACTACCCAACACACGAACAGGAACTGTTGGCTGTTGTACATGCATTGAAGACATGGCGCTACTATCTGGACGGATCCCACTTCATCGTATACACCGACCATGCCACCCTCCAACACTTCCCCACTCAACCCAAACTCACCCGCCGTCAGGCCCGCTGGATGGAACTGTTGCAGGAATACAACTTCACCTTCAAGTACAAGAAAGGAGCCGACAACATTGTCCCAGATGCCCTGTCTCGCCGACCGGACCATAGAGAGATTAACACACTCTCAGTACAGCTCGACCCCAGGCTCCGGCAGCGCCTGATGGATGGTTACAAAGAGGATCACCGCCTCAAACCGATCTATGAAAGCTGCCTCCAGGGAAGTCCACCGTCTAATTACTCTCTTGTTGATGGTGTTCTTTGCATTCAACGTAATGATCTTTTACTTGTTTGTATCCCCTCGAACTCTGACCTTCGGCTTTCTCTTCTTCACGATGCACACGACTCCGCTATAGCTGGTCACTTCGGTTTCGAGAAGACGTACGGTCATCTCCACTCGCGGTTCTTCTGGCCATCTATGGCGAAGGACACCCGGCTGTATGTGCAGACCTGTGAGTCGTGCCAAAGGACTAAGCCCAGCAACCAACCACCTGCTGGCCTCCTCCAGCCCCTACCCATTCCCGATCGACCCTGGCAAACGGTGACAATGGACTTTGTCGGCCCCCTACCCAAGACCCCACGCGGCTTTGACTCCATTACGGTCTTTGTTGACAAACTCACAAAGCAAGTGCACTTTGCCCCCTGCCACACCACCGACTCCGCCTCGCAAGTTGCACGCATTTTTTTCGACCATGTTTTCCGCTTGCACGGCATGCCAACCACCATTGTCTCCGACCGCGATACCAAGTTCACGAGCCGCTTTTGGAAAGAATTGAGCCGTCTGATGGACGTCCACCTTGCCATGTCGACTGCCTTCCACCCTCAGACCGATGGCCAGACCGAGCGTGCCAACCGCACCCTTATCACCATGCTCCGTAACTTTGTCGACCAACGGCAGTCTAACTGGGACCTCTTACTTTCCGCCGCCGAATTTGCCACGAACAACGCCACCAATGCCTCCACTGGAGTCTCCCCGTTCTTCTTGAACTCCGGAGCCCATCCCAACATGCCCATGTCATTGTTGACCCCTACTCCCGGCCCCAACCCATCGGTTAACGAGTTCGTGCAATCTCGAAGCGAAGCCCTCACCCTCGCTAAGGAGTCCCTTGCTGCCGCCCAAGAACGTCAAGCAGCCAACGCCGACATCCATCGGCGAGAGCATGATTTCAAGGTTGGTGACCACGTTCTCCTTAACCTTGAGAATATCACCTTACCCTCGGACCGCACCCGCACGTCGCAGAAACTCTTGGCTCGCTTTGCCGGCCCCCACACCATTGTTGAACAGCTGTCCCCGGTCTCCTTCCGCCTTGATCTTCCACCGTCCATGAAGATTCACCCCGTCTTCCACGTCGACCGATTCCGACGCTACCAACCATCACCTGCGACGCTAGGACCAAGAACACCAGCACGGCCACCACCGGTTATCGTTGAAGACGAGGAAGAGTATGAGGTCGAGGCCATTGCAGATCATAGGAAGGTTAACAACAACATGGAGTACCTTCTACAATGGCAAGGATACCCGCGCGAGGACTGGACATGGGAACCAGAGAGTGAACTGGCACACTGTAAGGACATCCTCAACAAGTACAAGCGCGACCATGGCCTTAGGACTTAGCGGATTTTTTTTTAAGAGGGGAAGGTGCAACATATTAGGTTTATCATTGCTCTCTAGTTAGTCATTCCTTGTCACTCTCTATCATCTCTGACTCACTATGACACTACACCTAGAAACCTAGTTGGCGACTTTGTATATATATTTAGTTGTACCATAGTAATAACATCAATCATCACTGCTTCAACTCTCGTCCCCGTTCTATACTTCTCTGTCCCAGTCTTCGCCTGTTGCAGGAGGTTGCGCGGTTTTACTGGGATAAGCTAATCAATTGAACACGAGATATAACAGAGTTAGTGTGTGACTAAGCTTATTTCTCAGGAGATCAATCAACAAGAACGCGTATGTGCATTACCATCAGCAAGGGGGCCCTGGACCATGATATGGATCATGTTCTCCTGCGGCTTGGCTCCAAACACTCTGGAGAGCTTGATGGTCGCCCTGAGTTCCAACATTTTTGGGAGTTCAGATGAGAACAGCGAGATGGTGTGATTGTAATTGTCGTCGCCATCGGGAATCGACACTTGCCATAGTCTCAGGTCGTTTGCATTGGATTGCTGGAAACTGGCAGGTAGCTCGGCGATGATGAGCTTCTTCAGGTGGCCGACAGTCTTGGTGGACTCGATCTCGACAGGGAATGCGCTGAAGGTGTACGCACTCTCGACAAGGCAGAAGAGGGTGACAGTGTTGGTGGTCATGTCGTTGTGGAATATTGAGAGGCAAAAGAGAGAGGGTGAGGAAGGTAAAAAAGGTGTGACACGTACAGAAAAGAAGCGTATAGAGAGGTGATGGTGAAGAGAGAAGGAAGGAACGAGTGGCAAAGGCAGTGAGGACGAGTGTGAGAATAGTAAAGAACAAAGTGGGCACTGTGAGAGCGGTGGGAAAGTCGATGGGGCATGCAGACAATGGCAAACAATCCTCTTGGCATGCTTCAAGTAGCATACACCATAATTGCTCTAATGTTAAGGGAGAGTAAAAACGTGTAGAAAGAAGAAAACGATTGTGCTCGGCGAAGGAAAGTCCAAAATAAACTGATGAGAAGCGGCGAAGTGGGACAAGTTATGTTTTGAGGTGAATGTTTCAATATTCAGCTTATGGCCGTACTCTTATATGAAATCAAGAGGATTCCAGCTTTAATCCAAATAGTCCGCATCTTTCTAAATTTAGCCCCAGGATGACAGTGGAGGTCAGAACGAAGCCCGAAATGCAGTGACGCTAGTGCAGTGGAACTTGGAATCTTTGATCTGGTTCGTGCTAGTGCAGTGGAAATTGGAATCTTTGATCTGGTTCGTGCTAGTGCAGTGGAACTTGGAATCTTTGATCTGGTTCGTGCTAGTGCAGTGGAACTTGGTATCTTTGATCTAGTTCTTACGTGTCCAGAGAGGTGTATGGTGCACTCTCGAATCCAGAAGAATCCCCATCATAAATACAAGTGCTCTCCACTTCTCTGTTGTTTAACCCGCTTCACCAAAAAAAACACTGCTGGATACATGTGCAATCCTTTACTAATGCTATGGGGCAATCGAACACAAGACGTAAAACCGAGTACGTTGTAAATTTGAAGAGAGATTCATCTGCCTCAAGTGCAAAATATGATGGAAGGCACTCTTGGCCTTCACGCCCAATTTTTTTTTTTTTTTTTTTTTTTTGGTTGTGTAACATTATTACCCTTTCTTTTCGGTTACTAGATCCACCACTCCGGTTGGCACAGTATCTCCAGGTGGAGAACAAATTGTCAACCATTAAGAGTCTTGAAGGAACCATCCTCGAAGTTCAGAAGCAATGCAGAGATAACTGTTTAAGGTTCCTCGAGGTCGAGAAGGCTTGCAACAGATATAAAATCTCCAGTGGGACCCTATTTGATGGCGTGGATGTGAATCCGGTTGAGGCCAACCCAGTCTACAAGAAGGATCTCGGCATCATCAACCCTTTGACCGCGGTGCAATTACTACACTGCACCTGCGATTACCTAACGAGAGTCGGACAAGCGGCCGCGCGATTCGATCCACAACTGTTTGTGGACGCCGAAACTTTGTTCCGAACGCGCCTCGAGGAGTTCAGGGCTGAGATTGAGAATGAGAGGATGCTGCAGGAGATCCGACTTGAGACTCTTAAATTTGAGAATGTGAACAAGAGACAACTGGATAACGCGGTCCTCTTAACATGTATCACAGCGGTGGGTATGGCAATCACAGCAGCCCTCAGTATAGCAAGCTTGGCGACTAGTAAGAAGTGTCCATAGTGTGAGCTCTTTTGCAAACAGACATCAGCAACAAGCATCAACAAGCACTGCCCCCGCTGCTCCACAACTCCTAGTCGAATCTCACAGCCCGATCACACCGCAACTCCGAATCCTCAGCCCCACACCGCCACCCTAAACATAGCCTCCCCCACATACTGCACACTCCTCACATACAGTATGGGACAAGACTGTCCCAATGTTTTTGAATTTCTTATTTGACATGCGATTTCTCTATTGAAGTAGTGAGATGAAGGCATAGTTTTTTTTATTGGTATCAAGTTTTATAGGGATGGAATCACAGTCCATGATCATCAGTGGGCGCGTTTGGTGGCACCCAGGATATTGATGGCGTCATGGAGATTGGTGGCGCTACGGGATTGGTGGCGCGTGTTCCTTGATCCACAAATGGCTACCCCTTAAGTCTCACCTCACTAGAGAGTGCAGGGTGACGACCTGTCGATGTTTGGTGTCGGTGGCGTACAGTAGATGATCGTAAGCTCATTTCGACCGCCAGCTCCTCGAAAACCGTTCAAAACCGGGCTCAACATTGGTCGCGGATCGGTCTCCAGGTAAGAGGACTGGAATTTTGTGCTGCCCTTGTCGCTCAGAACCTGGGCTTCGTCCACGACCAGCCTCAACTTGGACTCGCTTGAGAAATTGGGATAGGCATGAGCAGCAAGACTCTCTCGCACTGAAAGAAGTTCCTGTCGGACGATGGGCCTCAATGCCGACTCGAATATCGTAAGTCCTTCCAGCTTGTCATAGAGTATCGAAAACAATCCCGAGAACACGTCTTGGAACATGTGAGGACAGACCTGGAGTAAGGCCCAGCTTGCGCTCGAAAACGTCTGGCGGCAATCGGGGACTCGCAGACAGTATTTGAGGACCAAGAGTCGGGAGAGGAAAAGCAACAGGGTCATGTTCCTTGCAAAGGCAGTATTCTGTCCTGGACCTTGTTCCTCCATTGTTTTGGTGTCAATGAAATCGGCAAGTTGGCTGAGATCGCTCGATCCAAGATCACTCTTTGCCGCGTTGAAGTAGAACCCCCATTGAAGACAGAGCATCTCTATCACGGAACGAGTTTTCCCACATCCACTGTATTACAGAAAGAAGAAACAAACATGTTAGACGATGCAATAGGCAGCACGGAGATGGTCATATGCGATACATAGTTGGAAACTCACCTAACACCAAATACAGGAAGGTCTTGTGATTGCATGCCTTCCAGTCTTTCTAGTAGCACGTTCGATCTAAATTTTTCGGGGACAGCGTCGCTGGTGTTGGACGGAGGGGCTGGTAAATCCAAGAAAAGGAGACTCGGCCTTGATTCCACGTTTTCGATGACGCCTCGCCGTAGGACTTTGGGTAGCCCCTTAATACCGGCTGTGGTGATAGGCAAGGACTTTTCTCCTCTCACGTAAGCGTCCAGAAAGAGAGTGGTGGGCGAGCCAAGCGCGAAAAACTTGTTCTCTATTTTGTTGATGTCGACCTTGAGATCACCTGTTGAGAGATGAACCAGTTAGATAGCGAAGCAATCTGACCCTGAGATCACCTGTTCGAGAGAACCAGTTAGACAACGAAGCAATCATAAAAAACAGGGAAGAGTATAAGAAGCGAGGTTGACTGAACTTACCAGACAACGGTGTGCTAGGACGAGAACCGTCCGAAAGAGAGCCAGGAAGGGGAGTCAAGGATCGAGAAGGGACAGGTGCATGGACTATGTTGGTGCAAATGGATGCGTGCTTCAAGTTAGTGCATGGACAAGAGTTGAAGATGCAAACAGCAAATCACAAAAGCAATGAACGCGTGTGAGCATTACCATGAGGAGGGCGCTGGACGATGACATGTATGGTGTTCTTGGGCGGCTTGTCTGGAAAGACCTCTAACAAGCCACGCGTCGCTCTGAGTTTCTTCTTGTCTTTGTTGTTGACATTGTCAAGCACAATGGGGATCTCGTCGTCGTCGTCATCGTCAGGGATGGAGACACTCCAGAGCGTGAGGGACTTGGCAACAATGTCGTCAAAGTCAGGACTCTGCTTGGCCTTGATGAGGTCCTTGAGGCCATCAACTGTCTTGTTTGAGTCAATCTCGATCGAAAACGCGTTAGAAGTCGACTCTCCATCGACAAGACAGAACAGGGTCAGAGGGTTGTCAGTCATGGTGTTGCGAAGCATCAAGTGAAGAGGAGGGTGAGGGAAGGGAGATGAGTGAAGGAAGGTGAAGGATGTAGGGAAGGCGAAGGGTAAAAGAAAGAAAAAGAGAAAAGGATGCAAGCTGTGGGTTTAAAAGGAAAAGAAAGAAGAAAGGCGAAGGACGAAGAAAGGGCGTGGGAGCGGTGGCAAAGGCGATGAGGGCGTGGGAATGGTGGTAAAAAGAAAGGATTTGGGAGTGATGAGAATGTGAAACAAAGGGAAGCAAAGTCGAAGAGAGAGCGTGGGAGTGGTGGCAAAGGTAATGGAGGCGAAAGAAACAAGGCGAAAAAAAAGGGGAAAAGACGATAAGAAAAGACGTGGGAGGGTGGCACAGCAAAGAGATGTGGGAAAAGTGGAAATGGAAGGGCGTGGGAGTGACAAAGAAAGGAATCAAGTGATGGCAAGAAGAGGCATGGGGTGGTGGTAGAGGTGAAGAAGGTGTAGGAATTGTGGCAAAAAGGAGAGGAAAAACGGCAAGGAAATACATTATGGTGACGTCACTTACTTGCGCGGTATTTTGCCACCACTCCCACGCCCTTTCATCTCTTCCACAGCAACCTCATCCTCACTCCCATGTCGTGAATTGGCACCCATTTAATTCACATCCCTTGCACCACCAACCAACACCCTCTTATTGCACGCCCTCTTATTGCACCCTTTTTCTGATTTCTTTATTTACAAGAGTCAATTCTTCGCGCCTCCCTTTTCTTTCACGCGCCTTATTTCTTCTACACCTTTTACCTTCTATATTCCCTTCTTTTTTCTACGATCCCGAGTCAACGCCAAGTTGCTCTCTTTGTGTTCTTCTTATTTTCTTTACCTTTATTGTTGATGAACTATCCCCGCCTTTTTTCTTTCTTCTCCCTTCGTATCCACTTTATCGAAAGTGTCATCTATGTATGTTCACCACCCTAGGTTCACCTACACTCCTATTCACCAACCTCCGCTCTTTCTTGTTGATGAACAACCCGGTTCCCAACGGATAGGATGTCCAGCCCCGAGTCATTGTGTTACTCTCTCTTTTTACATGTTCATCTGTAGTCTTTCTTATTCAGTTGTTGTTGCAGTAGTAGTGTAGCCAGATAGTATAAAAGGACACCTAGAAGGGACGATAGAACAGTATCTTCCCCCTGTCATCTATTACGTTCTTCTAGGTAAGCCTCCCTCCCCTTTCCTTTCCACCACAAGCATTGTTCTCCCCACTCCAACAACTCACTGAATAAATATCTTCCCCCTGTCATCTATTACGTTCTTCTAGTACGAACCCTTTAGGTTGAGAACCTCTACCCTGCGCCGAAGATCCGCATTCATACCTGTCGTTACAGTGATCTAGTTGAGATCACTCCCTCTTCCTCCCCCCTCTTTGCCAGTCTAGTTGAGACTGTGTGGTACCTCCTGCAGAAGTTGCTCGAGTTCTCCACACCCACGCCTATTTCATCGCTACATCTATACCCCACCCTCTTTTCGTCACCCACCACACTCATCGTCATCCTTCTCTTTCCCTTTCTTATCATTCTCTTCCTCTTTGTTGTCTCTTACTCTCTCCATCACCCTTCTCTTTGTTCTCTCTTTGTTTATCGCTTCATCCTTCCCTCTTCTTACTTCTTACCTACACACACGCACACACACACCTCTCTCTCTCTCTCTCTCTCTCTCTCTCACACACACACACAGCACACCATTTTCTCATTTCTCAGACACACTTCTTTTTCTCACGCAAACACACACTCTTATTTCTTTACATTACGTCTGGTCATCCTTCCTTTTGTACTGTGTTTATCCACAAGTTGCTTCCCTTTCAACGCAAGGTAAATTGTAGATGTATGCTACGCTTGCCTCCGCATCTTTTTTGTCTACTCTCTCCGCCCCCTGGCTTTCATTGTTTTTTACAAAGTGATGAAGAGATCTCAGGGTCGCAGAGGAACGGGTTAGTATCGCGGTTATTGCACGAACTTTGGCACGTATCCTGGATACCGGCCTCATGCCCTGCAGTGATCCTGTTCCAGTGCTCAATTGCGTTGCTGAAACACGGGACAAATGCGACTGGCAAGACGAGAACATGTAACATTTTTTGGGTTTATTTATAATCGGCATTGAATTCTGTTGACTAACATCCTCATCTGTACCTTGCGGAGTTGTTGTCTAGGACCATTCATAGGATTCTCTTAAAGTCACAAGCTCGGCCTTCCCTTCGGAGTAATTCACTCCCCTCAGTTCCAGTGCAATGTCCAAATCCCAACAAGATCGGCGGCGGGTGGGAGCTGCTGAATGGCAGTCGGAATTCGATGCGAACAGAAAAGGAGCAGGGTATTTTCTTTCTCAAACTGGACGGCTATGTTTTGAACCAACCGGATACATTGCATCTCGCGCCTTGGAGGAAAATCGCGCTTCAAGACTTATTCAAGAATGGGACCGGTGGATACGAGATTTGAAGAGCAGTACATATTCCTTTGTTCGAGAGGCCGCAACTGCCACACGTCCGCTCACCATTGAGGATCTGGACCAATACTACCGGAATCGAATAGTTGTACAGCGCGATATGGTTGTTCTTGAGAACTCTTCAAACAGCTTGCGGATGGAGATCAAGAGCTATATTTACGTTTGCAGGAACTTCGACGTAAGCTTAAAGGATTGTTTTGACCGTTCGAGAGGTCAAGGCGCGCTGTTAGGGAATTTTTTTGCTAACTATGATATGTCCACATTGTATAATATAGAGAACCAACGATCGTCTATACCAACAGTATCAAAATCAACATCGGTCTCGTCCACACCATCCGCCAGTCAGGACCTTACCACTGCGCCCAGAGGTATGGACAGCACTGTCTCACAGGTGCCGACTGATGATCGCACAGCCTCAAATATCCTTCCAAAGCGGTCAAGCACACAGCAGAAGAGGAAAGCTTCCGTGTATTTATTGAACCTCAAACCTCCGGCTTTTCCTCCACCCAATTCTCCATCAGGATCAAGCATTCATTCTGCCTTCGACAGTTTCAGGGAAAAAAGCAAAGCCCTAGCAGGAGCTGGCTCACTTGATTTTGCCACGCATAAAGCAGAAGCTCTGTAAGTTGTGCTATTGCATTTGCATTTTGAAATCCCTCAAGGCTGTTTTAATATGCTGTATTGACCTTAGGCCCTTGCTTTGCAGTGCGTTGAACGGTATTTGGTTTGTTGGCAAGGCGACACTGGAGTGTTTGGATGCAAAAGAGGTCCATAGGGCCATGGGCAAGGAGTACCGTATACCAGATTACCCGGAAATTGGAGCATTAACGCCTCAAGTTGAGGAGATCCTCCAGTTTGGAACTGAACAGGAGATTTCGGAGGCGATTGATGAGCTGTGTGCTGCAGATATACCATGGACAGTCAGAAGGGCGCTTAAAGTTTGGAGGCAGCTGTAAGTGAAAAAATGACTGGCTCTATGGACACCAAGGTCATTCGTACGCTTCCTGACTAATTTTTGTTTATGTCTTTTTTCAGTTTAGACACACTTCCGAACGAGCCTAGACGGGACCTGCAGGATGGAGAGCACACTTTTGTGAATCGAGTGTTGCAGCCATTTTTGTCGGTGACGTTTTCTGCTCGAGGCAACAAGGTGTTGAGGGGGGATATTGAGCACGACCCTGCCAGCGAGGATAAGGGGGATCACAAGCACGGTGTTCGCAGCGATTTTTTCGTTGTTTTGCCTATTCCTCGCTTGGACATGTCCTTTGTGAGCCTGGTTGGTGAGGTGAAGCCTCCTGAGAAGACACAGTCGGCACAGTCGGAACTGAAGGATCAATGGAAGTTGTTTCGTATGATGAAAAGTGAGATTGACTCTCAGATCAAAAAGGGTATACAGGATCCGGTTGTCTGGGGATGCCAGGTCTTTGGATATGATATAGCATTTTATGTGATGGATCAACGGATATCACTCATTAACTGTCTCATGAAAATGTTTGCGGGCACGTTACCCAAGTCTGTTGAGGATGTCTCAGGGGTTGGTCGAATAATCTCCGCTTTCTTTTACATAGAGGTGAGTGAGGAACAAATCAACCGTATGTGCATGTATTGAAACAAAACTGCACACTAATTGTCCATTTGATCTTTGGCTTGTAGAGCTGTATCACCAAGCGAGGACAAGTGCTCGAGAGATCTCCTATCTATTCCCCTCCTCCCGATCCACAGTGTCATACCCAACCAAATCAAATAACGCCAAAGAAGCACAGGAATTTTTTTTTTTTTTTTTTTTTTTTTTTTGGAGGGAAAAGAGAGGATTTATTGTGGCTTAAACAGCCTTGATAGAGTTATTTTGTGCTATGGTTTTGGTGATTTCGCGAAGTATGGTGTGGATGATATCGCTACTAGATTGAGTGTGTTGATGAAGAAAAAGAACGGTGTTGGCGGATGAAATACCAATGAGGCAACCAGCCAGCAATTGTGGGATAGTGATGTTAAATTGGGGTTTGATATCAAAGGTTGGAGGATGGAAAGACAAGACCTTATCAAGGTCATCATCTGACCAAAGTGGTTTGGATGTGTGTTCCTTGAGGATTGTTTGCCAAGCAATGTATTTAGGAGCGCACTGAAAGATGTGATGCGCCTTGTCCTCACGTCGCTCACGACATCCGGCCATGTTACAATGAGGATCCTGCTTCCAGATTTTTTGACGTAGAGTTCCGCAAGGAAGCCAATCCCTTTTAAATCTCCACCACGTGGTCCTGGCCCGGTGTGGTATTTTAGCGCTCCAGAATTGGCGCCACTGTTTCGAGGTTCCCGTCTCTGGTTGGGTTGAGGAGTTTGGGTTTAGTGGTGTGTCTTGCCTCAAAAAGGCTCGAAGGTGTTTGTTCGTGGCCGATTCCAGAGTGATGGGATTACTGTCGTTTGGGATCAAGACAGATGAGAGGATATGCTGTGCCAATGTATCATCCTGCGTGATCTTGGGTGGGTTCGAGAGTGCTTGCTGCATACTGTGGCGCATTCGACGACGTTCTTGGTAGGCCTGGATCCCTAGTTCCACTTGAGCAAGGCGGAGCTTGGGGGAAAGGTGTGTTTTTCTGACCAGTTGGAGGAGCCCATTGTTGTCAGGAGAAAACTGAAAGAGCTCTTCCACTCGGAGTCTGAGGGTCTTGATGGTGGTATCTGTCGTTTCAAACCACCATTCGATTGGTGAGGAGGCAAGTGTTACAGAGTCCGGCAAGGGATCAGCAAGGGCCAGTGCTTTGAGGGAAGGGAGGAGGGACGCCGCAGATACCAATCGTTGCAGACCGGGAAACCCTGCCAATAAGGATCTGTACTGTCCGTCCAGGGGTGCTAGGAGGAAGGCAAGGCGGTGAGACGTTTTGGTCCTCCATCGGATGATATCAAGAATGATGTCCTTACCCCAAGAGACATTAGTGGAGAGAGCATTGCGGATATGCTTAAGTTGGAAAACATGGCATTGAGTAGCTGGGTCAATAACGCCTAGGCCACCCTTGTCCCTTGGAGTAGTGATCACCTCCCATGATGGCCTTGGTTTAAAGGGGCATACGAATTTGGTGACTGCAGCCTTCACCTTTCGCAAAAAGTCGAGCGGGGGGTTGACAATCCAGGATAGGTGCCAAAGTTTGGAGAGGATAAGAGAGTTGATGATGGTGGCTCGGCCCAGGACGGAGAGGGATCGGGAAGAGTGTATGGTTATGGCTGATTGTATCTTCTTCAGAGTCTTGTCCCAGAAGTCTTTTTCCTGATCGCGGTTGAAAAAGATAGGGAATCCAAGGTAGATCAAAGCATCGGCGGAGTTGTAGTCATGCCATCGCACGTCCAAATGTTCCAGGTGGGTCTGCAATTCTTTGGAGTAAGAGGGGGCCATAGGAAAGGCCACAGTTTTGGACAGGTTGACTTTGGCATTGGATGCGCGGCCATAGGTCCGTAGGGTATCCTCCAATGCTGACCATTCGGTTGTGGAGGAGATGAGAGTCATGAGGTCGTCTGCATAGGCGCTGAGCTTGATGGGATCCGTGCGACCAGGGATTTCAATACCGTGAATAGCCGGGGATCGTTCGATAGAGGCAAGCAACGGTTCAAAGGCTAAGTTGAAGAGGAGGGGAGATAGTGGGTCACCCTGGCGAAGTCCTCTTGATTGTGGGAAGGTGTCTGACACAAAGCCGTTGATATTGAGTGCAATCCTGGTAGAGAAGAAAAGTTGAATAATCGACTCCGTAAGGCATGATGGAAATCCAAGTCGTTTCAAGACCTGTTGAAGATAGGTAGGATGCACACGGTCGTATGCTTTTTCCTGATCCAGTAGTACGCCAATATGTCTTGTCCTTCTTGCCTTGCAGTAATCTCGGAGTGTTGAGAGCACTAAGCCATTGTCTGCTATATGTCGTCCTGCCGTGAATCCTGTTTGGTGCGATTCTGTCAGCTTGGTCATGTACGGTTGAATCCGTAGGGTAAGGATTTTGGTGAAGAGTTTGGCATCCGAGTTAATGAGTGAAAGAGGTCTCCAGTTTGCCAGTTTTGTCGCATCGCCCTTCTTGAAGAGGAGGATCATCACTGTCTCTTGCCAGGATGTGGGGAAAGAGGCAAGTGTCAGCGCATCGTTGATAATTGCGGTGAATAGTTCCTTGATCCAGGGTATGAGGAGGATGTATCGATAGAGCTCAAAGGGTAAGCCGTCCTTGCCTGGGGCCTTATTAAGGGGCGTCCTGCTCACAACGTGGTCTAACTCATCAGATGTGATAGTCCCTTCGAGTCTGGCGCGATCCTGGTCAGATAGGGTTGCATGTGGGGGGATGGCATCCAGTAGTCGGTTAGTTGCATTCTGGTCGGAGGGGTCGCAGGAGTATAGGCGCGAGTAAAAGTCTGTTGCTACTTCCAGACGTTCATTGGTTGAGGTTGTCAAGGCATCGGTGGCAGGATTGTGTAGGTGTGGGACGAGTCGTTTTTTGTTGCGTTGAGAGATGGCTCGGAAGAAGTAGGCGGTGTTGCCTTCTCCTTTTTCACGCCATAAGGTTCCCGACCGGAGGGCATAGGCATCCAGTTCTTCCGATGTATGTTGTTGAAGAGATGTTTCCAAAGCTTCCAGATCCTGAATGATTGCGTCCTTAGTTACACCGGTTGCAAGGGGGAGCTGGGCTAGTTTGTTTTGGCGTTGTATGTTGAGGTCTCTTAGGGCGGATTGTCGATCCTGTTTCCTTTTGATGGAGGCTGAGATGCAGAAACGTTTGATTTCCATCTTGACCCTGTCCCAGTGTTGGATCTTGCTTTGGTGAGGACGGGGTAAGGAGAAGGTCGCCAGGTGGTCGGTGAGATTCTTGATAAAGTCGCAGTTGTTGAGGAGCTGGGTATTCATTCGCCATATCCCTCGACCTGTCATGGGGGCGGAGGCGGGGGAGAGTGTCAGTAGTAGCATGTCGTGATCCGAGAAAGGAGATGCGCAGAGTTGCTCAGATTTAGATACCTGTGAGAGGAATTGGATAGAGGAGAAAATGTAATCAATGGTATGGCGGACTTTGTTTCCTGCAGGGGTGCAGGTGGGCTTGGGGTTGGTATGAAGTGGGGTGATGCAGTCTACAAGATGAGTATCAACCCAGTCCTGAAACAGGGGATGAGGACGAGGGTGAGTGTAATGTATGTAGTTAAGATCGCCTAAAAGAAAGGCCTTTGGGGGAGGGGAGAGAAAGAAAGGGAGGGAGAGACAGTTCAGCATGAATAGCCTTCGTGCTGTCCTGTTGGCTGGGGCATACATAACACAGAATGTGGCCATAAAAGAAGAAGATGAAGAGGTGACGGTGGTAATAATAATCCTTCCTTGTTCTGCGTAAGAGGTGTTAGAGAAGGAGAGGTCAGGATTGCGAAGAAGGAGTGCACAGTGGGGGGACCAAACAGAGCTGTGAGTGTTGAGATATTGGTTGTAATTGATCTGATCAGCAGTGGTTGGCGATGTTGGTAGGTTGATTTCCTGAAGGGCCATTATGTCAAAATCCGTTTGTCGAAGCCAGGTGAAGAAATGAGGTGGACCGGTAGCATTGTTGTTTTGAAGGTGCTGCTTACGTAGACCTCGCACGTTCAAGCTTGCGATCCGCATTACTGTGACCGATTGTTTTTAATTGTAGAAGTAGATCTAGTGGCAGGTCTACCTTCTTTGGTGTAGATGTTGTTGGATGTCTTGGTGATGGTCTTAACTGCTGTGGCGACCGCGGTCTTGGCTACGGAGCGTCTTGCCTTGATCCGCGCTGCTATAGAAGCAGCCATAGCATCCTCCATGGGGAGGTCGTTGTTGTCGGAGGAAATGGAGTGTTCAGTATTGTAGGTAGCTCTGTCAAGGTCTCCCAGGTTAGCTCCCTCCAAATTGAAATCCTCATCAAAGACCTCTTCTCCTTTATCCTGAGCCTGATCATGACATTCGGTCATAGTGATGTCATCTTTTGGTGTGTTGGAAGGAGAAACCACTAACTGGGACTGATGGGTCACATTGGTAGTGGTCAAAGCGAGATGGGTGTTTGAAATTGTATCAGGCGGTACAGAAGCAGAAGCAGAGGAAG